AAACGACGGCGCTTTTACTTTCTCAGTTGTTGCAAAGCTGCCCTGCCCGCACACCTTTTCCCTATTTGTATTTATTAAAGAGAATCGTGTGGCCGCTGAGGCTCGGAGGGTCTGGGAGCGCGCAGGCACCGGGGCGGGGCTGGGGCCGGGGCCGCGTCCTTTCACCCCGTCTAGGCTCAGGGTCGCAAAGAAAAGAATTAAAATGCAGCATTATGTTAGAAACCAACCAACCCACCCAGGTCCCAAACCCCAGTTCCTATTCCCCTGCCAGTTTCTCTCTCCAGGCAGCCCTGTTTTTTGTCTAGTGAGTTCTTAGTGCACCTTCGCTCTTCTAAATCTGCGGACAGCCCGCGCCTGTGTATCAATTTTGGCTTTGGCCTTTTCGTCCAGTAGGTGGGAAAGTAATTTGTAAATTTAATTTGTCCGATGTGATCACAAATTACTTGTTGAAATGTAAGGCAGCCCCCCCCCCCACTCCCCTTTATCGACATGATTTCCCGAAAATAAATGCAAATTAATGAACGGCTTGTCGGTGTGGCTCTTCTGATTCCGGCCCTGGGTCCGGGTCTCCAGGGGCCTAAAAGGAGGGGACTCTCCGCGCTAATAACCCGCGTGTGAATGACCTGCGTGAGGCCGGAGGCCAAAGGACAGGGCGGGGACACCTGGCGAGAGGAGTCCCCAGAAACGTTCCCGTGGCGCGGCCCGCGGCTCGCGGCCGGCCCGGCCCCTTCCCCGAGGCCGTTTGACCCCGCGCCCCTCTCGCCAGCCGGGGCAGGGACAGGTGTCGGGGCTCAATTCTCCAAGCAATTCCTTTCTCTTTAGAGGCGGGAGCCTGGCACTGATTTCTTCACCCTAATTGCCTGCGCCAGAAAGGAGAGGGGGAGGGGAAGAGGGCCGGGAGGCGGGAAGGGATCGCTCCGTAAAGCTCTCGGAACTGAGCCAAAGAAGGAAAAGAAAACAAAACGACCCCNCGAAGGAGCGTCCAGTTCTCGCCAAACGGCCCCGGGTACCCGGGCTGCCCCGCCTCCCGGCTGCTCCTCAGCCGACCTGCCCGCTCCTCCCCGGGCCGCCCTGGCTCCGTGGAGGCTGCCGGTGCCATTCGAGGCCCAGGTGCTAGGCTGTCCCCCCGGCAGTTCCCGGAGGCGGGTTCTGTGCGGCCCACGGGTCCTCCGGGCTGCTCAGGGGAATGAAACCAGGAGACCCGGCCTTGCAACTGTTCGGACAACTGTGTGGCCTCCGGAGCAAGGTGCCCGAACCCCTGGGCCTCGCTTTTGTCGCGTTTGTTACTTGGGCCCGGTGACGGCCTAGAACTTCGCACTTTGGGTTGGGCAGCGAGCGCGCAGCTCAGACTCGTCCCGCGGCCCAGCCTCTCGGCGGCGTCTAGAAGCTTCGGCGCCTGCGTACTTCAGCCGCCGGNAAAAAAAAAAAAAAAAAACCCAAAAAACGACCCTTGTCCCGCTTGTTGGCAGCAGACAACCCTCCTCTCTGCTGAGCTGTCCCGGGTGGTTTCAGAAGGCCGGGGGATCCGAGTCATTCCTCCCACGTGCTAAAATGTCCTTGTGGAGCCTCAGCCCCTTTTCCAGAATCAGCCAAATTATCTCTGTTCGAACTGTGAAGATTAAAACGCAAACACAAAATCTAGAAAGGCCGACACGGGTGCGTTTCACTTTGGCTTGCGCCAGGAGGTCGGAAAGGACGGTTCCATCTTCCCCTGAGGGAAGACGGGGGCAGAGGTGGGGATGGGGTGGGACGACCCCCCAGAAAATCCAGAGCCCCGAGCTCTCCAGACTCCGGCCTGAAACGTCCTGGATGTAAGGCTGAGAAGCTGCTCAACTTGCCCACGGGCGGGAAGGAAATAAGAAACAACGAAAAGTTTCCCGCGAAGGGACCAACACACCCTACTCTGTTTATTCCGTGGGAGACCCGACAACGCAAAGTGAGGCCGGGTTTGCACAACGACCCCCGCCCCAGGTCCCGCGCGGGGCAGAGGCTCAGGGCCGCGAGCCCCGGCT